TTAACCCTAAATTAACATTCAATTCCATCAATTTAAAATTCATATTCATCAGATTAATAATAAATTCACCTTAAATTTTATTTATTAAAACTCAATTTCATCTAAATAAAACCAAATTGACTTTCAATTTTATCAAATTCATATTAAATTTCAAAATTTAAAATTTAATTTCTTCTAAATAAACAATAAATTAACATTTGATTTCATCAAAGTACAATTAAATTGCATCATATTAAAAATAAATTACCTTTCAATTTAATTTATTTATAGTTTCAGAAATTTGACACCATATAGACAACCAATTTTATTAAATTAACATAAAATTTTATGAATTTAGCATTCAATTTCATCCAATCCATTAAATCAACATTAAATTAACATTAAATATCATCAATTCAAAATTTAATTTCATCAAATTAATATCAAATTCACTATCAACTTTACTTATTTAAATCCAATTTCATCAAATTGACCTTTAATTTTACAATTTCAAAATTCAATTTCATCAAACTAATATCAAATTCAACTTCAATTTTACTTATTAAAATTCAATTTTATCAAATTAATACGAAATTGACAGACAATTTTATCAAGTTAATAATCAATTGTATCCAATTTGATGATCAATTCATCAAATTAATACTAAATTAACATTCGATTTCATTAAATCAACACCAAATTAATTGTCAATTTTATCACATTAATATCAAAATTTATCAAATTGACAATCAATTTCATTCGATTAAATTCAATTCATTAAATCAACTTAAATGAATATTCGATTTCATCAATTAAAGTTTTAATTTCTTCAAATGAACACGAAATTAATTTTCAATTTTATTTTTTAAATTTGAATTTCATAAAATTAACACCAAATTGACAATCAATTTTATCAAATTAACATTAACATTCATAAATTTGACATTCAATTTCATCTAATTGAGATTCAATTCATCAAATAAATACCAAATTAATATTTAATTTCATCAATTCAAAATTCTATTTCACAAAAAGCAAGAATCAAATGTTAAATTGATTATTTTGGTGATAATCTGATGAATTGAATGTTAGTTGGATGAAACTAAATGCTAATTTGATAAATTTATTGTTAATTGTATGAAATTGAATTTAATTTGATGAATTGAATATTAATTTGAAGAAATTTAAGGTCATTTTAAATGTATGTTAGATGAATTAATTGTTAATAAAATTAAATTGAATGCAAATTTAGTAGAATTGAAGGTTAAACTAAGAAATTTAGTGCTAATTTGATGAATTGAATATTAGTTTGATTAAATTTAATGTATAATCTATGAATTAGAATACTAATTGCCAAAAAATAAGTCAAGAATACCTTTAATCAATCCCAAACATTCTTTTAACAATTTAAGATATATTCTAAACATTTGCAATAGATCCTAATGCATTGGGATAGATCTCAAAAAATATAGAATTATGATCGATCACAAAAACATAGGATTGATCGCAATTTTTCTCCTTAGAACAAAAAATTATCACGATCTATCGTTTCACCCTATGACCGATCACAAATTTTCTGGTCAACATAAAATTTTATTACTATTATGCATTGGTGTTGTTAATATGACCTTAATTATCGTACCAAAAAAAATACTTTTAATTGACATGAATTTTAATCAATAAAAAAATACATATTCAATCGACTGATCGATCAGTTTTTATATCGATCGATCACAACCCCACATTAAATAATTCTGTTACTTCAACTATTAAATCTGCAAGTACTTGATCTATCATCAATATTGTGATCGATCACAAACCCACAAAAATATAGTTCTAATATGAATGGTGGATGAACTTACTATAACTGTGGTAGCATTACAACATCAACATAAAAATTTACTATAGTTTATGATTTAGATACAACAACAATGGAAAAAGTTATAGTAGTATATGCCAAAGTTACTGCTGTATTTATTTAAAGTTAAAACGTATGTGGGTAATATTACAAACTTAAAAATAAATAAACATCAGTTGTGGTATTCTTACCCCAAATGGTGGTAAATTGACTATAAATATTAGTAACGTCACTTAAAATCATCGTAATATTACCTTAAAAATGGTAATATCGTCCCAAGCAGTGGTAATATTACACCATACAATAGTAACATTACCTTAATAGTGTTAAATTCACGTTAAATCATGGTAAATTCACTCAAATCATTGTAATAGTATTACAAACAATGGTATTTTTGATCCAAATATCATTTAATTCATCAAATCAACATTCAAATTCTTCGAATTAATATTTAATTAATCAAATTAATACTAAATTAACATTGAATTTATCTTATTAACATTAAATTTATATCAAATTAACATCAAAATTCATCCAAATCAAGTTCACCTGATCAAATTTTAAGAATGTTTATGATCTATCACAAGAACTTAAGATCTATCACAAGGTTACAGTAGTCTACTCCAAAAGTGATTTCCTAAGAGATTGTTATCGATCATACAGTGAAATGATAGATCATTGCACTTCATGACAATTTTTTTTTTCTAATAAGAAAATTTGCAATCGATCCTATAGTTTTGTGATAGATTATAGTACTTTTTTTTGGTGATCTATCTGAATAGATTAGGATCAATCACAAAGGTTTAGAATATACCTTAAAATATTAAAAGAATGTTTGAGATCGATCACAAATATCTTTGACTTAATTTTTTTGAAAAATTGTAAGCTTGAGATCGATCACAAAGTTATTAGAGTGAGATTTAGTAAAACTGTGGACAATTTACCACAATTAATGGCAGAATTACCATCTCTGAGGGAAGGTTTACAAAAATTGTGGATAAATTTATAAGTTTAGAGGCTAATTTACCATTATTTTGGTTAATATTATGACAATTTTGGGTAACATTACGAAGATTAAGGGTAAATTTACGACAAAAAGATGTTAAACTAAAACCATGGTGAATAAATTTATCACAATTGGAGAAAGGTTGTGACATCAAAGGAAAAATTTATAATAATTTAGGATTAAATACAATGATTATGTTAATTTTTTACTATTGTTGTAAATTTTTCCCACAAATATTATAAACTTTAAATGATTGTGGTTAAGGTTATTAATATATAGACAAATTTTACTTTCATTTTGGTTAATATTATGAGAACCATGAATAATAATACAAACTTAAAGATAAATTTATAACATCAGTGGGTTTCATTAGTGTTATATTTACGACAAATGTGGTTAAAAGTGTCAATCGTACTTTTACCACCATATCGATTAAAGTTTGCTTACTACTGTTGTAATTTACCCACTGTTGTTATAAATTTTTTACTAATGTGATAAAATTTTCATTGATGTTGTAAATTTGCCTATTACTGTTATAAATTTTTCTAATAGTGTTGTAATTTTTTAATTGATTGATCGTGTTGGTTTATTTTTTATGGAGTCTAGTTTGTATATGTGATCCGGATGATGACCCGACCCGAAATAATGTTGTGTGGTTTTTAATTGTAGATGGTACAGCCGCTCTTTGTATTCAACTCTCTCAATAGTGAAATCCCTACAGCTTCGTGGACGTAGGCAAATTGCCGAACCACGTAAAATCTGTGTCTTGTTCTTTCTTGTTTCTTATTGCTTTATATTCTTGATTTGTTCTTCGATTGTGTGTGTTTGTAAGTGGATTTAAATCGTGAGAAATCCCAACAGATCGGTCAATATTAATGATCGATCACAAACCCACAAAATATAGTTTTGGTACTTCAAATGGTGGTAAAAATTTACCCACTATCATAGTAATTGTGTCTACTACTGTAATAAATTGTTCAGTGACGTTATAATTTTGTCCACTATTGTTGTAAATTTTTAACTGATGTTATAATTTTTTCACTATTGTGATAATTTTATTCATTATTATTATAAATTTTTCATTAATATTATAATTTTATTCGCGTAAATTTCTGACTGTTGTAATTTTATCCTCCGTTGACAGCTTTTCGGTAAGGTACCGAAATATCTGCTCCAAAGCAGTTGATGATGTAAGCCACCTAGAAGAACCAAACATACCCTTCGAACTCGAGTAAGCCTGTGACACTTACAAAAAAAAAAAAAAAAATGATTTTCAACTAGAGTACAACTATAGATGTTGGTTTAATTCGTTTATAGCCGTTGATTGCAAAAAATAATAAATAAAACAAATATACACTTGTTGGTATGAAAAGAACAAAAAAACAAAAATATGATATCTAAAAATAATTTTTCAATATCATATTTGGACCCACTTAGTTGGGCATTGGTGTCCATTATTGTTTAAATTGATGTGCAAGTGATCCTGAGAGTAAAGTTGATAACCGAGTTAAATATTTGTATTTAACTCGTTTTGGGCTCTAAGTGAGATGAAATTAATTAATTTTTTAGATTCATTAAAAAAATGAGTTTAAAAAAATTCAGTTCATTTATATGTAAAATAGTCGAACTATTCAGGCTCTGCTCATTTTGATTTTGACTCATTTTGAACTTGAATAATTTTTTAGACTTATTTAGAAAAACAAGTTCGACTCGATTATCAACCCTACCTACCTGAGAGCCACAACACACACACACACACACACACACACACACAACTTCTAATTCCAAACGTTAGAGCAAGAACACTTCATTGGATAAAAACATTGTTAACTACCTAGTCTATAGCAATACCTCTTTCTCTGAAAGGGTAATAGTTCCAAAAACTTTCTCAAACACCATCTTGAATTTATCTTCATCAATTAAAGTCGGCCTTCAAAGTACGGGAAGACCTCTAGGCCTTGGGTGGATCGATGGGCGGGGGCTATCCCACATTAGATAGCCTTAGAGATGTGTGTGTATAAATGACGGCTATGACACTTCTCCTTTATAAGGAGTTGTGTTGTAGTTTGTCTGTCTCAAAAATTAAAGTCGGCCATGTGCTATAAACGATTGATTACTAAAGCAAAAGAACAGAATGAATGGGCAAAGTTTCTATTATAACTGAGCAATTCAAGTTTCAGATTCAGCAAAACTTGTAGTAGGCAATGAATTCTACCACCTCAACCTGAGACACTAAATTCTCACATATATGAATAGCCCTAAGTCAAAATTCTTACATAGTTTATTAATAGAAAATTTGTGGTCATAAAATCTGAAATGGGTAATAGAAGAGGAGTTGAAAACTGAAAAAAAAAACAAAAATCAACACAAAAATAGAACAGCAGCACAATCTGATAAAAACTCGACTCATCATTTGACATTCCTACCTTTTTTGTTCGTAGAGATACAGAGTGCAGTTCACCCAGTCACAGGAAGAAGTTCAAATCATCTGATCTGGGAAGGAGAACAAAGTAAGCCAGATGCATCGGATCCAACAACTGCAAGGTCACAAACCGTACAAAGCTGTCCCTCCTGCAACGGAACAAAATGTGAACTGCAGTAAGGGCATGTGATATCCTTCTGTCCTCTGTATATAGGAACATATGTGGCCCCACAGACAACAAAAGGATTTCTGAAGTCATAGTTAAGTTGGGTTACATCTCTCATGTTTCTCTCCGCAGCCTGCAGAACTTGGCGAGCTGGTTTAGCTTGGTTTTCAGAGGTTGGATTTGTCTCTAAGAGTCGCCTAGCAAAATTAGCTGCTGTAGTGAGATTACCTGCCTTATAGCAAACAGTCATGGCATTCCACAGAGCGAGTCTCAAATGAGGCAGCTGAAGGTTACAGTGGGTGAAGTAAGCTGCCAACTCCTGCTGACGAATGGGATTGTCCTTCAACTCTTTTTTCTTAAGTTCCATCTGCAAACCTAGAACATACTCCTTCACAATGATAATCAATTCTTTTACTTCATCCACCTCTCTACGTGACTCAACCACAATCAGGGGAATGGTATGAAGAATAGATAGAAAAAGCCGCAAGGCTTCAATAAATTTCCCAGCAGTGGTGGCCTTGTACCCGGCCTTTAGTTTCTCTTCCAACTGGGAGAAATTGAATACTAGTGCAGGTGGGTCACGCACATTCGAACTTGCTGACTCACTCCATCCCCTCTCAATCGCCACTGATATCACAGGAGCAGATGAAAAAGCACGTAAGTATGTCTGGCTGCCCATGTGAAGATCCATAAATAGCTGTTTCAAGGGAGTAAAGTTCCTTATTCCGAGCTGTCGGCTCAACAAACGCATTGCACTATCAAAATTGCCAGCTGCTGCATGTTCAGCAGCAAAAGATGATTTTTGCACCCATATCTGGCTTACTGGCATACCAGCAGTTGGCGCAATAAACACCAAAGAACGTGCATTGGCAGCAGTCTTTGGTGTATCAACATCAGCCGGAAGATCAAGATCTTCAAGATCCCATCCTCCCTCATCGTTTTCTTCATGCACTTCCTCGTCCTCTAATACCATACTGATGTCTCCATTCTGCAAGTTTTCCACATCGACAATCTCCAACTCCTCACCCCAGTCAGCATCTGCAGCATCTTCATATTCTTCATGTCCACCCTTGCCCGCATTATCAAGACCACCCTCAAAGATCCCTTTCATGACCATCAATAGAGGCCAATCTCCACCACACAAGATGGGACGTGGGGGTATCAAAAGAGAAGCAGACTTCCCCTCAGGCAAAGAAGGGACATTATCTCCCAGCTCAGCAGCAAGACGTTCAGCAACATCAGGGAGACCATGTACTGTGGCTGTGATGTATGCTAGAGGCAAATGACCCGCATTCTCCAAAATCTTAACACGCTCTCGGATATCTCCTAGGTACAAAGCATCGTGGAACTGACCCATAACATCATTCTTGACCTCAGCAATTTTCATCATTTTGGACAATTTGTCCAGATTTCCAGTTATCAGATAAAGGAAAGATAGCCTCTCAAAGTTCTTTGTTCTCTGGTATGCATATTCTACAATGCCTGCGTTACCCTGACGAAGGGCCTCCACCCCCAGCCTATACCACTGGTCCTTCTCATCAATTTCCTTAGCAGAAGCGACAGCTACCTGAATGTTCCCACTTTCTAATGCCAAGTTAAAGCGAGTTCTCTCATCCTTTACAAAATGGAGAGCAACTTCAGGAAAACCTTTTTGCTGGAGATATGCAATCATGGCTTGCCCACAGAGTTCCGAGTTCCTGATCATGCTCATAACCTGATCATATCTCTTCCTCAGCAGAGACAGCTTGAAAATATATTCAGTTGAATCAATAATTATGGGACAGTTTTTCCCATCTCGGTCCAAGCAAAAGACTGTATTTCCAAAAATCTTTGTGATGTACAATGGTACATCAAGGGTTCTGATGATACCACTGTCCCCATTAGGAAGGCAGTATTTAATGTGTGTTAGCGTTGTGTATATGAAGACACCATTGTCATCCCATGCTCCACTCTTGACACGAATGGTCTCGTGAAGAGTGCAGCGGTGCACAAGTTTCTTATCAGCTATAATTATAGAATGTTTGCTCAACAGAGCAATGCTTTCCATGTCATTCGACCACACAACATACCTAACTAAAGAAGTTTGAAGATCCCCCAGAACAATCCTTTGTTGGAGGTCAAAAATGACTACTTTGTCCTCTGCCCTACATAGCAAATTACCAGTACCAGCATAAAATATTGCATCGGTGACAACAGGGAGGGCACTCTTCTTGACAATCTCATTTTTAAGGTTTTTGACTAAAACTTGGTTGCTGCTCTTCTCAAGCACAGCAAACCTATTTCGAGCCACGAAAACTGCTGATCCTCCAACACCTCTTTTTGCATCTTGAACTGTATCGCCTCTACCAAAGCTGTCTTTAGGTACAATATAGAGTTCATAAGATCCTCCATCCGTGTCCGAACAGATCAAAACAGCATTTTCAGTAGGACTATAAGAAAGAGTTTTAGAGCTTTGATTCAAGTTATTAGAACCAGGCCTACGGATAGGTATTACTTGAGTGTCTTTCTGACTTGAGTACCCAAAGAAGCGCAGAAAACGGTCTTTCACATAGTACAAAGAATCACCACTAACAGAAAAAGCAGGGCGTTCTCTCTCCAACTTGAAAACTATCATGCCACTATCATGACCAGCAGCCAGAAGGTTCATCTCAGGATGAGCAGCAAGAATCCAAAACCTATCATGCTCCCTCCGAAAAGTTTGAAGGCCAGTCCTCTTAGTAGAATCCCACACACGAATGCTTTTATCTTCTGAATTTGACACAATAATATCCTGCCTTGGATGGAAAAAAACGCATGAAACATTGTTCATGTGCCCTCTCAAGGTGTCTACTTCCCAAGCCTTCGTATCTGAAAAGATAAATGTCAATTCTCACTGTTAAGTAGTTCCATCCATAAAACTTCTGTTACAGCAAAAGAAACAAAGATTTAAAGACAGCGGCAACTAATATAATGCTTCTTTATGGAATTTATTACCCTAGACTCTAGAGAATATTCATGTTAGGTCATTAGGACTTGACTGGTTTGTTTAATAGCTTAAAAAACATTTGGAAGTTTCTTCTTCTCCTCCGATTTTTGCTTTCAGATAAGCAAAACTGTAACACATATTTACAAAGTTTTCCCATTTGAAAGGGTAATAAACGAAGGGAATATTATGGAAAGAATGCAATGAGAATTTGTAAGTTAAAGAATACACAAATGAGAATAATACAGGAAAAATGTAACAAGTATTTTTAAGTTCAAAAAATTGTAAATGGAAAATCATTGGCAACAAAACCACCAAAAACATAATGTAAAGCTTCTAAACATAGAAAATAGAGAGATAACAGGGCTTAAATAGCACGGCTGTGATCTCACAACTGCTGCAACAATTCAGCCTATAGACCCCAAGAAATGAAAAAAAAAGAACAAAGAGGATCCCATTTGGAATCACCAATTAGAAAAATTAAAATGTCACGTTAGAGGAAAAACTAACAAAATAGATCACTACGGCCAATACATGGAGTAGCCAGTTGGCCACTTTCCCTGTTGGATGGCTCAGACTGCCCCGTTGGTCAATCAACCACCACTAGACTGGACAACAACCTGTTGAACAGGCCATGGGCAGGTGACTAATGGGCTAGTCTGGCCTAGCTCGTCCCACTGTTGACCTTTAACTAAGGCGACTGATTTGATATTAGTTTTTCGCGAAAAGAAAATTATATTTCATTACAAATGAATCAACCTCAAGCCTACCAAGCCAAATGGTGCATTGCTCGGTCTCAGCTTGAATATTAGAAGAGTATACACCTCTGATCATATCCGGTTCACTTTCTAGTACATAAGAGCTTCAATGAGTCAAAAGCGAGTCGATCCTGAGTTGAGCTCATGTGACTCGGTTTATTTAATAACCCTGTCCTCAACCATTTCCATCACCATACCCATTGCTGCCAACCCTACCACCACTGTCTACCCCATTCTTTCTTTTTTTTGGTATATAAGGCTGTTTCTTACCCAAAACCACATCCGACAGCAAAGACCATGATCAACTTACTCCACATTCATCTCCAACATAATAAAGCTGCAGCAAAGGTAGACTACTATGCCACGACTTCCAACGCCATCATATCCAACTTAAATATCCTCTCTTGAGTTTTTAAGAAAGCCTTCTGATTTTTGAATCTGCTAGCTCCATCTGACACATTTTAAATGTTTGCACCAGATGTTTTGCCATTTTAAGTAATGGCCATTTTTTTTCTGCAATAGTAATGACCAGCTTAGTTGTCCATTTTGGAGACATTATAATACATGATAATTTAACAAGAAAAATTATAGGAAACAGAGAGCAAAACTGGCTCTTAAATTATTATGCTGCTTGTTGTCTTATTATATTCCTTATTTTCAATATCTAAAATCAAGTATAATCTGTTTTGACTTTTGAATGGCAATATATTGTCAAAGAGATGCAGCAGAACTTGCATTACAATAATTGTTGTGCACGTAACCCTTAGCATGACAACACCACTCTTCTTTGCATCATCCCAATTTGATCATGTCTTTAGTGGGACCAATCTTCTTGTTATGGAATCTAAACTAGCAATGTGTACTTTAAAGGCATCCTATTACTGTCAGGAAAATGATCATATAGAAAAAGATAGAACCCATGACAAGAAGACAAGACCTTGGCAAGCATACCATTCATTCGCCAAATTTTCACTTGGCGATCATCTGCTCCAGAAACAATCAGAGGGAGAGTGGGATGGAATGAAGCCCAATTGACTCCTCGATCATGGCCCTCCAAGACATACTTAACAACAGCATCAACTCCACCAAAGAAATCTGCGTTCATCTGGCTTAACCGAAGAATGTCATCAGCAGGGGAAACTGTTTTTTTCCTCATGGCACTAATATCCCAAACACGAACAGTTTGATCCAATGAGGCGGAAACAATCAGGTCCTCTTTGGGATGGAACAAGGCACACATCACATAATGGTTATGTCCAGTCAACACAGAAATACAAGTACGGGATTGCCAGTTCCATATCCTGATCGTCTGATCATCACTGGCGCTAACAATCCATGGATACTCATGGTGAAATTGAACCGTCCGAATGTAATCAAGATGTCCAAGAAGGGTAAACAAACACCTATGCAACTTGTAGTTCCACACCTTGATCTTGTAATCATCTCCTGCATAAACCAGCATTTTCATCAAACAAATAGCTGCCTCATGCACAAAATGAGTAAAGTACTTAAAAGCCTATTCTTCTTCCTTTTTTTTTTTTTTTGCAATTATATATATTGCAAACGCGAAGTATCTATCATTTTTTTATGAGCTGGTCAACTACATTTTGGGAGGATAGACTGATAAGGAATTCTGAATGTTGAAGGCCTTGAAATAGAAAAAATAAAAATAAAAAAAGCCCATGAGAACGAAAATATATTCCACATGTCATGCTTTATGGAATTTTTAATCAAGCCAGATTGTGATTATAGGTGGAGTTGAGTAGAGGTTCATGGTTTCTCAGCTCCCAAGTACTGAACAACCTACGATTCAAAGCCAAATTCAGTTGATGTTTTTCTTCTACACATTTTATAAGCGATCAAACAGAGGGCTCACTGGATCATATGAAATTTCATCAAGAAGGGTCGGTATACAAATCTATAACGCCATAGTATATGAACTGTAAAAAAAGATTGCTAATCCATTGATATCAAATAGAAATATTGGAGAGATTCGAGACCTCCCGAGACGAATAGTGGCTGAGACTTGTGGAAATGCACACCACGAACAGGTCCATCATGCTCGTCGAACCGATCGATGAGAGTCCCCATACGGTAGTCCCAGAGCTGGACCACACCACTGTGAAGACTCGCCAAGATCCATGGCCTCTTGCTATGGAAACTCAGACCCTTCACTCGATTACTCTTCGTCTCAAACTTCGTCAACATTTTTCCTTCCCAATTTCAAATCTCAAATCCTAATCAAACACACCATACAACACTCAATCAAATCAAACTGAATCCAATCCCTGAACCCTAATTAGGCAGTGTAACTTTTACCTCAGATCTGAGAATTGTGGACGCTGATTAAGAAGAATTGGGGGGAGAGGAGAAGGGAGGTTGTGTTGTATGTGTGGACGTAGATCAGAAGTTTCTGAGAGGAGGAGAGAGAAAGAGCGGGCGGTGGATCTATGCTAGAGTTTGCATCTGATGGATCCGAGCGTGTGAATCATTCTATTTGGTGAAACGTTTTTCAAGTTCTGTTTTGAAGTGGACTGTGAGATCTTGGTAAATAATTTGTCAATTTTATTAATTATTATTATTAATTTAATTATTAATTCTAATATTTTTTAAAATTCACTATCAATTTAATAGTTATGATTAATTTCTAATATTTTAGATGCAAACAACATTTTTCCTTTGGTTGTTGTCAACTTTATCGCTACACTAAATCTATCTAATATTATATACAATAATTTGAATTGCATATTTATAGCGTATAATAATGATTAATACTAATTCAATCTTCATTTAGAATTATTTGACGGTATAAAATTTATTCTAACAAAAAAATTTCACCAAAAAATGTCGGTCCTATTTAGTTTGCATCTCATAAACTATTTTTTGGTTTTTGAAAATAGTTTTTTGAATTTGGCTAACTGTTTTTCCTTTTTGTTTTATAAAAATTAAAAATAAAAATTGAATAAATTTAGAAAACAAATTAAACCTGTTTTGTTGTGTGTTTAAAAATAACAACTTTTTTAGAATTTATAAAAACACCACCATNTTTATGAGCTGGTCAACTACATTTTGGGAGGATAGACTGATAAGGAATTCTGAATGTTGAAGGCCTTGAAATAGAAAAAATAAAAATAAAAAAAGCCCATGAGAACGAAAATATATTCCACATGTCATGCTTTATGGAATTTTTAATCAAGCCAGATTGTGATTATAGGTGGAGTTGAGTAGAGGTTCATGGTTTCTCAGCTCCCAAGTACTGAACAACCTACGATTCAAAGCCAAATTCAGTTGATGTTTTTCTTCTACACATTTTATAAGCGATCAAACAGAGGGCTCACTGGATCATATGAAATTTCATCAAGAAGGGTCGGTATACAAATCTATAACGCCATAGTATATGAACTGTAAAAAAAGATTGCTAATCCATTGATATCAAATAGAAATATTGGAGAGATTCGAGACCTCCCGAGACGAATAGTGGCTGAGACTTGTGGAAATGCACACCACGAACAGGTCCATCATGCTCGTCGAACCGATCGATGAGAGTCCCCATACGGTAGTCCCAGAGCTGGACCACACCACTGTGAAGACTCGCCAAGATCCATGGCCTCTTGCTATGGAAACTCAGACCCTTCACTCGATTACTCTTCGTCTCAAACTTCGTCAACATTTTTCCTTCCCAATTTCAAATCTCAAATCCTAATCAAACACACCATACAACACTCAATCAAATCAAACTGAATCCAATCCCTGAACCCTAATTAGGCAGTGTAACTTTTACCTCAGATCTGAGAATTGTGGACGCTGATTAAGAAGAATTGGGGGGAGAGGAGAAGGGAGGTTGTGTTGTATGTGTGGACGTAGATCAGAAGTTTCTGAGAGGAGGAGAGAGAAAGAGCGGGCGGTGGATCTATGCTAGAGTTTGCATCTGATGGATCCGAGCGTGTGAATCATTCTATTTGGTGAAACGTTTTTCAAGTTCTGTTTTGAAGTGGACTGTGAGATCTTGGTAAATAATTTGTCAATTTTATTAATTATTATTATTAATTTAATTATTAATTCTAATATTTTTTAAAATTCACTATCAATTTAATAGTTATGATTAATTTCTAATATTTTAGATGCAAACAACATTTTTCCTTTGGTTGTTGTCAACTTTATCGCTACACTAAATCTATCTAATATTATATACAATAATTTGAATTGCATATTTATAGCGTATAATAATGATTAATACTAATTCAATCTTCATTTAGAATTATTTGACGGTATAAAATTTATTCTAACAAAAAAATTTCACCAAAAAATGTCGGTCCTATTTAGTTTGCATCTCATAAACTATTTTTTGGTTTTTGAAAATAGTTTTTTGAATTTGGCTAACTGTTTTTCCTTTTTGTTTTATAAAAATTAAAAATAAAAATTGAATAAATTTAGAAAACAAATTAAACCTGTTTTGTTGTGTGTTTAAAAATAACAACTTTTTTAGAATTTATAAAAACACCACCATCATCACGTCTACCACATCATACCACCATTATCGTGTCCACCACACCACCACCAACACCATGTCCAAACTTCCACCACCACCACCACCACTGTCATCACATTTCTGATTTCATTATTTTTTTGGTTTACTGTACAAATAAGTTTTAATGTTTTATATTTCGTATAACTGTTTTTGGAATCTTTAATTTAATAACTTAAAAAAAATTGATTAGAACGCAGAACTTGAATCGTTGCCATTTGCCTGTTCAGTGTATTACCAAAAAGGTGGGAATGAATGTGGTATGTCTTTGAATCAACTACTTCGTCTACCAATGTCAAATTCAAAAATCCACGAAGAAGTTTATCAGACATTATTCCATAGACACACCACACACCCAAAGGACCCTAAAGCTCATTTTTTCCCCATCATCAGAGGCCAGACCACCTGCTGGTGGTTAAAGTCAAGAGAAAGAAAAAAGGAAAATGCTGCTTCCAACACCCGCCACCACCTCCTCTCCCCGGTACAGCAAAATGATCGCGACCCAAAGTCATCATCTTCACCTAAGAAGAGTCAAGAGTAAAAGGAAAGCGTGTGCCCGAATTGTAGCAACTCTTTAAACTTGTGTTGGGTTCATTACACAACTGATGGGACATTTTCAAATACTCAAAGATGAAGACACGTGTTTTCGGCATCAATAAATTCTTATTATTGTGATCACGACACGTACCCGTCAGTTCACAAGTCCCTCTTTCCCCGAGGTACTGTTCATAGGGATCAATAACACTCATTTTGTTACGTACCGACACGTATCCCTCGGTCGGATATGAGGTATATCGGTTCCTACATGTACCACTCCCTCGGTACCGAGATGTACTCGTCCAAGATGACGTTCTTTGCTCCTGCAGAGGCTATTGATGTATAGGTCATTAGCCTAGGTTACGGTAAGTTAGCCATCATGACCTCGTCTTACACAATTGGTATCAGAAGACAGAAGACACAACCAATGGAGAATGGGCGCGTGGCATATTGTGTCAGATCAGAGACAAAAAGACCGAGATGTCCTTGCTGACACGGGACTTGGGAAAAAAAGCATTTAGTGCACCATTTCTTTGATGAGACATTATTTAATGCAGTAAGGCTCGGAAGTGAAAGGTAATAAATATCTCTATGACTGAACCATTTATTACATCCTTGTCGAGAGAAACTCATTAAACATTCGGCAGGCCGATGACACAGCATTGGTTGCTCGGGGTCCCGAGCAATTAAGAGAGAAGACATTCCTCATAGGAATCAGTGGGCACGTTGTTCGTATCTAATGATCACCTACTGACCACACTGACAGCAATCATGAGTTTGTGAGGTATAAATACTCCTCACAAAAGGCAAGATGGTATGCAACAAAAAATCTTTTCTCAAAAAAATAAAGTGTTTTATCATTTCCCTCTCTGAAAAAATTGATTTGATCGTCGAAGGGGATACGCCGGAAAACACTTCGGTGCCCTCCTAACTCATTTTTTTCTGTTCCAGGAACCTCCATCAGCCTTACTGGACCTCTTCGTTGATCCACGAAAGTCACCCATTACCGTTCCAGACCACCACCGGACCTCACAGTCTGTTCCAATCAACAGGGTTGACCATTCGATTGACTAACTCGAGTTCACCACGAGAGAGATATGTTTTCGTGTTTATATTGTACAAAATCCTGCACGCACAACAACTATGCTCGATGATGCACAAAATAGTCTCGTGCAAGATCAATAGTTGAGTGTATAATAAGGTATAATTAATGGATAATAAATAAAATAATTAATAATAATATATAAATATTGAGTCAACATACAAATATATAATTGTTTGGTTCGGTCCGAGTGACTTACTTTAGTTTGAGAAACGGCAACGATAGCCGGGAAAACTTTATTAATAAAATATGGTGACCAAAAGAGAGAGCAATAGTTAGCTCTGGGAGGGGTACAATAGCTTAGGAGAGAGAGAAGCCATGTGTGTGCAAAGAGATGTAGAGGCAGAGCTCAATGTGTGAAGAGGTGTCAAGATGTATCCTCTCATGTGGAGATGACTTATAATTTATAGGCATTGAATCTTTGTTAAGGCAGTGACGTGAGAGTAAAGACATTAGTTTTTTGGAAGAAGAGTTACAAAAGGTAAGTACAAGTAAGGTGAACTTGATATTCGAGAGCGTATATCCCGATAATCTTACTTTTACGTACTCTTTTCTTTGTGGACTCTTTGGACCTTGGGCTGGGTTGAGTTGATTAACTGGGCTTGATCCGTCTTTTAGCTGATCCATGTCTAACAGGCTTCTGCTGCCAAAGATGCACCACATGCAAGTGTTGCATTAGTCTTGATGGAATTTTCTTTTTTGGTAAGTGCATTTCGATTGTTTTCTTCGTTTCTGAAGGTGCTTTTGATTATGTCTTACAGTTTTGATGCTTAAAGGGGGCTGCATTTACTAAGCAATCGTTGCACTTGTATGCCTATGCTAGACCAAATGGTTTGTGACAGCATTAAGAGATGAGGGAGGGATACAATGGCATTGCAACTAGCTGAAAATTTCTAACTTGTAATTTTATTTTATTTTATTTTAAGTTATTTTTGTTTCTCAGTTCATTTGCATGAAGCATCTATAGATTCTCTGTCCTCCTCAAAAAGAGAATAACTGGGTATACACTAGAAAAGAAAAATCTGACATTAACCTAGCATGGCGAATAAAAGAGAGAGATCTATGTTACTTAAGAATCTTTTCGGTTGTTATTTGTGTTTTAAGAAAATACGCCAATTTATGAATTTTGTCGTGTACAATAACCTTAAACTTTCTTATGAGTTGGAATACATTTGCAAAGGGTGGCACAAGTATTGTTGGTTCATCCATGGGAGGATCTTATCTAGGGGACTGAACAATAAGGTTGTTAAAGCCTGGACTTTAGGATCTACATCTAAGAAAGACCCTAAATTTTTATGTATATCATTAGCTCATATAAAAAATTTAAATTCATTGAATATTTAAGCCCTATAAAAATATAAGTCTAATAAAAAAAAATTTAAATTAAAACCCAAAAAAATCAAAAGTAAAAAAAAACCTAACATGAAAATCTAAAAGGTTAATTAAAGGTCAACTCATTTACTGACACATTATTCTCAACCTTTTTTTCTCTCTAAATGTTTTTTTTTTTAAATTCTACAAACGAAATCAAATACATTTTACTTATAATTATTAGATTATTTTTCAAATGCATGCATTGCTTACTAAATTTTTTTAACGATTCTGTAAGGGGTAGAACCCTCCACTAAGGATTTCGACTTGACCTGGGTTAGGTACCTCCTCCTTTGAGTGCAAGGGCTTATATGCGAGGGGGGGAGACGACTCTCAGTCGATGTGGGACGAAGCTCCTGCGGGCACTGAGAGGTAAAGGCTACTGGGGGGTCGCCCGCGNAAGATGCACCACATGCAAGTGTTGCATTAGTCTTGATGGAATTTTCTTTTTTGGTAAGTGCATTTCGATTGTTTTCTTCGTTTCTGAAGGTGCTTTTGATTATGTCTTACAGTTTTGATGCTTAAAGGGGGCTGCATTTACTAAGCAATCGTTGCACTTGTATGCCTATGCTAGACCAAATGGTTTGTGACAGCATTAAGAGATGAGGGAGGGATACAATGGCATTGCAACTAGCTGAAAATTTCTAACTTGTAATTTTATTTTATTTTATTTTAAGTTATTTTTGTTTCTCAGTTCATTTGCATGAAGCATCTATAGATTCTCTGTCCTCCTCAAAAAGAGAATAACTGGGTATACACTAGAAAAGAAAAATCTGACATTAACCTAGCATGGCGAATAAAAGAGAGAGATCTATGTTACTTAAGAATCTTTTCGGTTGTTATTTGTGTTTTAAGAAAATACGCCAATTTATGAATTTTGTCGTGTACAATAACCTTAAACTTTCTTATGAGTTGGAATACATTTGCAAAGGGTGGCACAAGTATTGTTGGTTCATCCATGGGAGGATCTTATCTAGGGGACTGAACAATAAGGTTGTTAAAGCCTGGACTTTAGGATCTACATCTAAGAAAGACCCTAAATTTTTATGTATATCATTAGCTCATATAAAAAATTTAAATTCATTGAATATTTAAGCCCTATAAAAATATAAGTCTAATAAAAAAAAATTTAAATTAAAACCCAAAAAAATCAAAAGTAAAAAAAAACCTAACATGAAAATCTAAAAGGTTAATTAAAGGTCAACTCATTTACTGACACATTATTCTCAACCTTTTTTTCTCTCTAAATGTTTTTTTTTTTAAATTCTACAAACGAAATCAAATACATTTTACTTATAATTATTAGATTATTTTTCAAATGCATGCATTGCTTACTAAATTTTTTTAACGATTCTGTAAGGGGTAGAACCCTCCACTAAGGATTTCGACTTGACCTGGGTTAGGTACCTCCTCCTTTGAGTGCAAGGGCTTATATGCGAGGGGGGGAGACGACTCTCAGTCGATGTGGGACGAAGCTCCTGCGGGCACTGAGAGGTAAAGGCTACTGGGGGGTCGCCCGCGGCTTATATGCGAGGGGGGGAGACGACTCTCAGTCGATGTGGGACGAAGCTCCTGCAGACACTGAGAGGTAAATGCTACTGGGGGTCGCCCGCGTGGGTTAACCCATGTCAAGCCGAAATCCTTAGTGGAGGATTCTACCCCTTACAGATTCTTTTAACAGTTACTTATAAGAAAAGAAGTATTGCAAAATTAAAAAGTAATAAAAATCGTATTTACGGTTTACAGTTACTTAAAAAAAAAAAAAGTTTGTCTGAGAAGGTGGATAATATAGTTTGGAAGCTGACTACCTCTGGTGTGGTTTCTGTGCATTCTGCTTGGCAGATGGTAAGTTGGGCTGCTGAGGTGAATGTAGTGGATTCTGTCATTTGGAGACAGCATGTTCCTCCTAGTGCTAAGTTACTTGGGTGGAATATTCATAAAGGAGCTGTTTTGGTTGATACAAATTTTCAGAGAATTGGGGTTTTGTTGGCTAGTAAGTGTTCTCTATGTGGGCATGAGGTGGAATCAGCAGAACATTTGTTTGTTAATTGTGAGTTTTCTGTTCTGGTTTGGAGTAAGCTGTCTGCTATGTGTGGTTTTCAGCTGGTGGTGTCTGAAACTCCTATGTAAGATTGATAAGGTTGAGTGGACTGTCTTTGGTGGTGTATTGGCAATTGTGGAGAGAGAGGTGCAGAAGGGTTTATGAGGAGGGTTGTTTGTCATCTTGATTGATTTTCTTGAAGATTTGTTTTGTTTTAAGGTGGCAAGCTCACGGTGTTAGGCCAAGAGTTCATGAGGGTTTGCTTGGACTGGAATTGTTAGGGTGCAGGTGAAAAGCTTATGGATTAACTGGTGTCCTCCAGCTGATGGGTGTTAAAGCTGAATGGGGATGGGGCAGCTAAGGGGAATCCAGGCAGAGCTGGGGTGCTGCAGTGGTAATCTGATTCTTGCAGGCTCTTTTTTTCTATGGAGAATGCTCCAATATGGAGGCTGAGTTGAGAGCATTAAAGGATGGTTTGGTATTGTCTATCAGCTTCAAATTGAAGCTTATTCTGCTGTTATGGTGCAAATGGTGTTGCAAGGGCATTTGAGAGCTTGGAAATTCTGGGCTTTATTCAATGAAGTTATGGAGATGTTGGGGAGACTGAATTTCAGCTTGGTACATGTGTATAGAGAAGCTAATCACATGGCTGATTTTTTTTTTTGCAAATTTGGCTGTTAGAGATGGTGCTTCTACTGACTCTAGTCAGGAGTTGAGGCTAAGCTGATTTTGTGGCAGGATAGACAAGGGGTGAAGTTTTTACGAAAAAAAGACATGTATTCTTTGATTTTTGTAGGTGTTTTGTCTTGGGATGATTGTAAAGGCAGGATTGTCTGCCGTTTTCTTGTTTGTATTTCTTTTTTCTATTAAATAAAATGTTGATTTGTTTTTAAAAAAAAAAATGGTAAGAATAATTATCATAACTGATAAAAATACTAATAACAATGATAAAGAACCCACAAAAGTGGTAATTTTTTTTATACCGAAGAAAAATAAAAAAAATAATTTCAATAACAGTGAAAAAAATATCCACAAACATGATAAATTATCCCATAAAAAATAATAAAAAAATATATTAAAATAATATATTTTCAAAATTCGGCACCAATTTTTTTTTTGGGTACCTTAGTCAAGTCTTTTTTTTTGGGTCATGGTTAAATCTAATAGTTGAATGAGCTTAAGTTGAGCCTAAAAAATTTATTTTTTTCACCAAATTAAAAAAATTGTTCAATTTCGACTCGTTTTTTAAACGAATAGAGTTTGAACGAGCTTAAAATAAGTCAAATTCAAGTCGAACTTGAGTATTTGCACATACAAAAATCAAATTTATCGAGTTTGAGTCGAGCTCGTTTAAAAAATTATTTAAGTTCGACTTATCAAACTTAAATAAGTCAAAAACGAGGTGAGCTTGACTCAAGTTCTAATAATTTTGTTTGATTAACAATCCGGTCAGTTAAAAATGTCATTATCAAAATTTCTAATTATATAATTGTGGTAGTGGCACGTGGCCCAACCTGACATTGATTTCATGGACCATTCCGTCATATCACGGGTCACCAAATTGGCGACCGAATGTATTGTTATCCCAGTCCACGTTTCAAAAAGTTTTCTAATTTTCCGCCAAGTTTCCGACTGTCCCCACACTTTAAAATTCTTTATTTTATTTTAATATTTTTTAATAAGGTTATTTTCCATCTTTCACTGTCACATACATATCTCTAGAGAGAGAAAAAAAGAAAACGAAATAGAAAAAAGACTGCAGAGAGAGAGAGAAAGAGAGAGAGAGAGAGAGAGGAGAGTTATACGGAGTTGCAGGTATGGGAGCTCTTGCTCCGGTTTCTTCGTGGATTCCTGAAGACGATATTATGCTTAAAAACGCTTTGGAGGTACACCGTACACCCCACCCTCGTGTACTATTTTTGTGCCTTTTTTCGAGTTTTTTTATGGCTATGTATTTCTTGACTTAATTCTTCGAAATTGGTTATGGTTACTTTATCTGACCTTGAAGTGGAAACTAATTTGTTTCTTCCTACTTTAATCGGTTTCTATGCAAACATTGAAGGAGTTTGCTTCAGTTGCTCAATGTTTTGTGTTTCTTTAGGTTGTTATTGTGGATTATCTAGTTTGTTCAATCTGTGGTGTCATCTTTCTTTCTGTGTCTTGGACTTGAATATTGGGGTTTCGGTGTCTCGTGGAGTGTTTGAAGTTCAAATTTGTTATTTTTTGTATGTTTGTCTATGGTTGCTTTTGCTCAAGATTTGCCAGTATGGTAATGGAAAATGGTGTACTAATTTAGTGACCTTATTTACCGACACGATGGATTATAGTTATTGAATTAATAGTGAGTTCCATCTAATAGTAGGGTCCACTGTGGCAAAGAATGATACAGTTAGCAAATAAAAAGTGCTCGAATGGTAAATTATATAAAAAGTGCTTGTTTTAGGTTAAGGGTCAATTAATTGGGGCATTTTTTAGTGGAGGGTTAGACTAGTTGACTGATTACTTGACAGAATGCATGGCATTGGCAAGCCTGAAATGATGAGTAGAACTTTAACATTTTGTAGCCTACGTGAAATACTTGCTTCATCCATGGAAATACTCGATCTATTGAGTGTCATCAAAGGGTATCTTTATCGAAGTGTCGTTTTCTAGAAACAGTTATTTGGAATGTCATTAGAGGGTGTCTATGTTGTAATGTTGTTGTCTGGATGTTTTGGAATGGGTTTAGAGGATATCTTTTTGTTTGAAGCAAAAAAAAATGTTTCATAAATGCATATTGGTTTCAATCTGGAGACTGAAATGGTAAATAAAGAGTAAAGTTGAGTCAAAATTTAGGTAGTAAGTTATTACTACAACTTATTTGGGTACCATTGTAATTCTTTGATAAATTGAACCAATGTGGATATTATGTTAGAATTAGTGTTCTCAGAGACAAAGATGTGATAAAAGGATAAAAAAATAGTGGGACAGTTGTGTGCATGTGTATGGATGATACATATTCTGTGAACCCCATGCGGATATCTAAGGTCTAAAAACACAATGGTTTTGAATGTCCTTGTTTCACCTTCCAATTCGGACTGAAGAGAGAAAATTGCATATTGTACGACGTCATCCACAATTGCATTTCCCACAAAATTCTTTCTATGCTTGACAGGTGATGGTACTTATTTTTTTAAGGTAATGGTGATAGTAATTATTTGTAGAATGCTTTCTGTATGGTAGAGCTGCAAGCTCGTGCCACCCATCTGGTATCTCTTATTGCAATTGCCTGGATACAAAATCATTTGAGTTGGCCTTACATCTTGTTTTGACAAGTGCTTTCAATTTGTTTATACCAATGCAAGATGTGATTGCAAATGTGGCCCTGTTGTTTGATATATGTTCTGGAGATGCTTATTTGGTTATATTGCCTTCGTTCTTCTGCCTCAGGCTGGTGCCTCCTTAGAATCTCTTGCTAGAGGTGCAGTATACTTTTCTCGAAGATTTAGTGTTCAAGAACTGCAAGATCGCTGGCATTCTCTTCTCTATGATCCTGCTGTTGCTGCAGAGGCATCTGCTCACATGATTGAGTTTGAGCATCATGCTTTAATTTTTCCATCAAAATCCAGCAGGTTTGAAATTAGAAAAGATAGAAAATGTCAAACAGGGGCAAGAAAAGCTGAAAGTGTCCGTAAACGGTATTATGCCATGTGTAAAAGAATTTGCAATGAACCATTTGGCTCGATGGACATGAGCTTGCTTGGTGCAACTTGTAATAATAACTATGTGAGAAATGGGGATGAGCTGCCATCTGCAGATTGCATGCTTGGATCTCCAAATTCAAATCATTTTGGACTTCAGGACTCGAATATTGATGCCATGCATTGTGCCTTCCCAGAATATGGGAATGGTGATGCCACTGCCACTGCCACTGGTGTTACTGCCCGTGCTTTTTGTACTGGACTCACTAGTTGCGCTGAAAAGGATTCTCCTGTTTATGAGAACAATCCTCACAATTTTGAGGAGAATCTTGCTCTCACTGGGGATTGCTCTGCAGTTGAGGAACTGCGCCTGTCGAAAGAATTGCCAGTCTGCAACCTCTTTGAAGCTGATGAATTAGATGTCAAAAACCCAGCTATGTTTAATCAAATTTCTGCTAATGAGGGAAATGTGTGCTCAGCATTTGGAGGAGGCCAGGTCTTCAATTCACCAGTTTCAGATTGTAATGCTTCATTTCACAATTTGTATTCATCTCCACTGACCCAGACAATTTGGAATACAATTGAGGGCATTTGTGCACCAATTTTGCCTGATATTCACCTTGGGGAGAAAGAACAGAAAACGGGGAATACGTTTGCATTTCCTGATCATGATGGTATGTGTAACCCAAGTGCAGCAAGAGATTCTGTTGTCCACCCAAATTTTAATCTGGAAAACCCAATGCCATGTGATGTCATGAAAAATTCAACTCCTAGCACTGATGACTACTTTGTGTCTGATTCACTTCTCAACTTTACGGCTGAGGAAGAGCTACTATGCATGGATGAGTCTTATATTGATGGTCTGAGCTCACTCCTGTGGGATTCACCTAATGACAGTGACATGCCCAATATTGCTGTACCCAAACCATTGGTAGCTCCAAATGAATATCCCACACACCCTGAAGAATTAGATGACAAAGCGCTATATCATGGTGGTGATGGGAATCTTGTTTGCAGTTCAAAGGTTCAAATGTTACCATCATCAGCTGTGAATTCTGAATTTCCTGAACTGCGTAATGGACCTATTTGCTGCACGCTAAACAGTGAGGACCCAGAAATTCCTAGTAATGATGATGTTTTTCTTACTGTTCTGATTCCATCATCACCTTTTTCATCTGTAACGCAGTGGAAATTTTATGAAGATAATTATCCCACGTCCTCATCTGCTAAGGGCTTCTCGAGTAGTCAAAAATCTAAAGATGGAGGTCCAAATGTTTTGAAGAGAAACAGAAATAACTTTGAACAGTCCCATGTACCTTCCCAAATGATTGGATCGCAATTGCTATCAAAAATGGTCCCAGACCTTTCAACCAGTGATCATGGGGTTAAAATTGAAATGCCTAACAGTGTTGCACAACATTTGACATTTAGGAACTCATGTCCTGGTAGTGGAGGTGCAGCAGATTTAAGTACAAACAGTCTCCATCCTGCAGATGTGAAGGAAGATGTTACAAAACTTGAACTGGAAAAGCATGTCAATTGTAACCTAGATGATTCTTATCTAAAGAAGCAGGCTAACGGCTTTCATAGCCATGAAAGATGTTTTCAGAAGAGTGCTAGTTGCTGCAAGCGGGAAGTAGAAGCTTCACTTACATTCCATGAACATCAAGCATTACACACATCCATAGATATGAATGTCCCAGAACTAGTTGTAAACCATTCACCATCTGATCAGAGAGAGTTTCCTTCTGAAAACGATGATGATATACCTTATTTTTCTGATGTTGAAGCTATGGTAAAATTTTTAGCTTGTTATCCTAATCCGTGATTTTCCTTCTGTCAATTATCACAGCTTAATCTTTTGTATTGATGCTCTTTAATGTTTTCTTGCAGATACTTGATATGGACTTGAGTCCTGATGACCAGGATTTTTATTCCAGTAGGGAAGGTAGCTCCAAGATTCCCTTGAAATATGTTATTTGTTTATTTATTACTAGATTGTTGTGTCTTTTGACCTAGATTGCTCTGATAACGTGGTTTCATAATATTTGTGGTTTAGGTTCTTTGCACTATTCAGTTGTAATTTCTTATTTAACATATATTCTCCGGTTCATTGCGTGGGCTATGATAAACGATGTCACATATTATTAGTTTTGTGGTAAATGTCTGTGTTTTGGTTATATTCAGTCAGATTTACTGTTATACTATCAATGTTCCAGCTAAAGCAAAGTATGGCGTTTTTTTTCCTTGGCCCTTGCAACTTGTTATGTCTAGAAAAACTCTGCTTGTTACTTTTGTGATGGTTCATGTTGTTGAATATGACTTTGTTCCATAATTTGTTCTTAGACTCTGTCGTGTTTCACATTTTGATAGTTTAACAATCACTAACATTGGCTTAATTTTCAGTCTTTATATACCACCATGAGGACACTAAGAGGAAAATCATAAGGCTGGAGCAGGCTGCTGATGCTTATATGCAAAGAGCCATTGCATCCCAGGGTGCCTATGCTGTTTTATATGGGCGCTACTCGAAGCATTTCATCAAGAAACCGGAGGTTAGCGCTTTTTCGTATCATCCACAGTGATTAATGTTTCACATGTGCACTCTTGGTTAAACTTAAGTTTTGCCTTAGCATTTTGTTGGTAAAATAAATGGGCACCTACTGTGTATGCTGATGTGGCCAAAAGAGATCAAGTTAGTGCAGTGGAAGCCAATATACCTGCTTAGATATTAGAAAAACCTAAAAAAGTTGTCCACATAAGCAAGGTCAATAGAACCATCAACTACAACCTTCTGAAAGACAAAAGACTTCATTAATAATAAGACACTCTGAAGACTAATAAAAAAATATTTTAATATGTGTTGATTTTCATCACATGCACGAGTGTGAATGTAGTTGAATATTTGTTTTGTTCAATTACTTCTCGTGTTTTGATTGTTCTGTTCCAAGAAGGTTTGAGAATGTTAGAGTGCTACCTTTTTATTGTTATATTTTTCTATTATGTTACTTTCTTATGATTGGATATATAGTAAAATTAGGAAAAGATAGAATCAAGAATGATATTATCCATGAAAAAGTAGAGTTAGCTCCTGGAGGGGATAAATTAAAGGAGAATCAGTTTAGGTGGTATGGACATATCTATAGACTGCCTAGTATGGCATAGGTGAAAAAAAGTAATTTTATAGCTATTGAAGGTAAGTGTAGGGGTAGAGATTGACCAAAATTAACTTTAAGTGAAATAGTAAAAAAAGACTAATAACCTATGATTTAATAGAAAACATGAACCATGATAGAGCAAAATGTCGAAAGAGGATTCATGTAGCAGATCCAAAAATATTAGGACAAGACTTTATTGAGTTGAGTTATTTTCCTATATGCTAGTTCCCTACTGCTCTACTTTCTTATTATGTGGTTTTCCGAGTATATTCTACTTTCCTAAATTGTAATTGTCTTCAAATCAATCTAATATAAATAGGTGATACGTTGTTTGCAACACACACCCTACACATAATATTGTTTCATACTCAAGTTTCAACTTGGTATCAGAGTAAGATAATTTACCTCATTCGTTTAGTGGTGGGGTTGATCCAGCACGCATCAAGTTGTAGGCATCTGTGTTTGTTCATCGGCTGTTGTGATCATTATCATTTATTATGGGGTGCCTAAATCCGTGTTTCATGGCTTGGTGTTTGATCGTCGACGTGGATTTTAGTGTTTTCAGTTCGGTTTATTATTTTCAGCCCTATTTGATGGTGGATTAGTAGTTTCCATCATAGATCAGTTTCGATTCAGTTAAGTGGTTTTTGCTCACTTTGGTGCTGGTTTAGTGTTTTTCATCTGATTTCAATATCGGGTCAATATTTTCAACGTGCTTGAGTGTTAGTGTAGTTATTTTTGACACAATTTGGTGTTGGTTTAGTGGTTTATATCCCAGTCCAGTTCCGGTTTAGTATTTTTAGCCTGGTTCAGTGCCAAATTTTGGAGTTTAGGATGGGTTTTGTGATCTTCAATATTGGTTCTACTTTTTTGGTTCATTCAACTTTGGTTTTACTTGGTTTGCCCTATTTTCGAGTGTTGCGGTTTAATTTTTTGTTTCCTATGGTTCTCTGTGGTGTTCTTAATTGTGTTCGTTTGTGCTGGTATTGGTGGTGGTGGTAGTGTTTTGTTTGTCCTTTGCTGTCACTGTGTTTTTTCCTTTAGGTTATCGTGATTGTCGTTGGTTATTGCTTGTTTTGGTGTGATCGTTAATTGATTCTCTAGAAACTAAAGAGATGCCTTAGACTTCATATGGAGCAACCACCTGGATTTGTTGCTCAGGGGGACAATCGGGGTAGTGTGTATCGATTAAAGAAGTCTCTTGATTGAAACAGTCACCCAGAGCTTGGTTTTATAAGTCTTATTGTCTACTGGAAGATATTGCGGTCAATTTAGTGATTTTCTCACCAAGCCATTGATGCGGTCCCACCTTTTAGAGCCTTTATTCCAAACCGGGCATTTTTAATCTTGTGCTACAATTTGGGAAGATGCTTTAATAGTGTTACTTTCTTATTGTTTTATTTTTCTATTATATTACTTTCCTATTATGCTAGTTTCCTATCGTTCTACTTTCCTGTCATGTGGTTTTTTTTTTATGTTCTACTTTTCCTAATGTTATAGTTGTCTTCAATATCAATCTAATATAAATAGGTGATATGGTGTTGGCAACACACACCCTTCACACAATAATATTGTTTCATACTCTCATATATTTCTCTTTTATTTTCTTAACCCTAAAATACAATTATTCTAGTTTCAACTAAGACATTTCTGCTTATGTTTCTTCGGAGATCATCAAATATTGAGCATCAATTCTGCATTCGAGCAAACAAATGTTGAAAACAGGCCATTCACCTTTGTTTTTATTGCAACAGCCCCCTCTCTGTTTGTGGTTCAAGGACAAGAGGTTCAGTTATTGATTTTATCTTCCATATGCTGAAGCTTGCACAATCTTGAGAGGTTTTGGCTACTTTTGGATATTTAGTGCTGTTACCATCATCAAGACCAGATTTTAGGTAGAGTGTATGGTTGAATGAATGGTCGGTGCTAATTAGGCAGATTAGAGATTGAGCTGTTCTGAACTTCCTTGATCATATAAACTAGTAGTGACTTGAATGCAGCTTCCTACATAACTGTCCTTTGTATACTTATGTACTCTCTCGTTCTTAATACATGCTATTTTGTGGTTTAGGTTTTACTTGGGAGAGCAACTGGAGATGTTGAGGTTGACATCGACTTGGGAAGAGAAGGGTGTGCTAATAACATATCTCGACGGCAGGTAAAAACATGCTTAGACTGCAGTGCAGTTTATATATGCCTGTCAGGAAAACAGAAATGCTTTGTTTCCCATCAAATCAGCGTACAGTCTTTTCCTTCATAATCTTTCTCCAGCGTTGTGTCCCATAGATGTTATGTAATGTCATGAGGACTGGAATAATTATTGTAAAAGGTGAAAATATGATGGCTAAAGCCCATCTGGGGAACCACCATTAGTTAACTTACGTCGGCATCTTCTGCCATTAAACAAAATAGGAGTTACATGTGGTTTTGTGTGTGTTACTTATCAATGAAATAAATAAATAAATAAAACCAAGCCAACATACACTCGCAAAGAAAGCTGTCAGTTACAGCTCTGCTTAGGTTGGTGCTTATCCCACAAATAATGGAACTAATCTTCAGGGATGGAATTGAGGACATGACTCTACCTCCTAGACCTTTTGTATGTGTTGAGTTTTCCCTTCCCTATAAGGATGGAATATTAGAACATCATACTATATGATGTTTCTGAAAGTGAGCTTTATCAGATTGATTTGCTTCTTAATCAGTGAGAATATTATGAATTTTTGTGCAAGAAAAAGGACCAATGAGAATGTTCTTAAAAGAGATTAAATGGGTTTTAGGACTCATTAAAACATTTGCTTCCTTTTTCCTTGGGCTGACATGAGTCATGATACAAGAAACTGGGATTGGTCGTACTCTTAACGGTAATTAAATCATAGAAACTGTGAGATGACAAACGTACACCTCATGTGTAAATCTTCAAGCATTTGATTTATTTGCTGCTTCCAGCTTATAAGCTAGTAGAGGTATTGAATACGCTTGCCCAAATTTTAAAATGGATACAATCATCTTGCCTTATATTTAGTTGTAATAGTTCTTGGTTCTATTGTTGCTTGCAATCTTTGGTTCAGCAAAGATGCAGATATTAGTTATTGCATCTGTTAGGTTTATTGAGCAACTTTAAGCTTCTTGGACAATTTTTTACTCAGTCCTGCTATTTATGATAGAGAGCTCTGAGAGCACATCACTGTTACTTTGATGAGAGTGTAATTTTTTTTTTCTCTCATTGTTAGGCAATTATAAAGATGGACGAGGATGGATTTTTCCATCTGAAGAACCTTGGTAGGTGTTCAATCTTCATAAATGGCAAGGAAGTAGCACCTAAACAGAGTCTAAACCTTTCTTCAAATTGCTTGATTGAGGTAATTTTTTATTTTTTATTTTTACTTTCTAAGGCAGGAATGGTTGATCAGTAATAGCAGCAAATTTGGATGTACCTCGGGTGCTGGGAAATGTGATATTTCTTTTATGTTATATTATAATTCACGGTGAAAGTCAAATTGCTATCAAATGTAGTTCTTGAATCTTGGCAACATTTACCCAGCTTCATCAACGAGTATGGAAGTTTTTATAGTCACCAATACTGGAGCTATCTAAGTAAATATAACAAATGCATTGCATCAACTGCTTAGAATATTTTGGGCAGTATGTGATGAAACCTTTCATATAAGGAATATAAGTATTTGAGATATTTTTTGGAAAGGTGTGCTCTCATTGTACTAATATTGGAATATTCCATGACTGTGTCACCTTGTTTGTCTGGTTACTACATTATTCATCTTCAGTTGTTTGGCTCTTGGTACCTAATTTAATTGAAGGTATTTCCAGCTTGGTGAATAAGTTCAAATTTCAAACTTTTTGCTTTCCCTAACCTACATTTGTCATATACCGTCAATTGTTGCCATTTTATAAATGGGGTTTACTAACATGTTTTGTGCAGGGAATTTCTCTATGGAACTAATTAATTCAATAATTTATTGGCTATAATTTTTATGTGATTTACTAATTCCACACCGATATCAATATTACAACTTCACTTTCCCCGCCCCCCACTCACCAACAAAAAAATAGAAGATTTTAATTTGAACCACAGGTAGATTTTGTAAGATGCCGGGGAGCTCATATGCATATTTTCACATGCAATACTCATTGAACATATTCCATATACTTTCATGCTTGTTTGAACTATCGTGCTGGAATCACCAGTATTACTATCAATGCTATTTCTTTGAAGGTTATGCTATTCTTCAACAGCATAACAAATCTGCATTTTTTGCGCTATATGCATCACTCTTGACTTATTTACTAAATGGGGGCAAATTTGCAGGTAAGAGGAATGGCATTTGCATTCGAGACGAATCAGAATAGCGTAAAACAATATGCGAGTAACATCACAAGAGGAAGCCAATCCTGCGAACACAAAGATTGAGTGAAGATTGAATGACTTTTTCAGAGGGTTTCAGAAGGTGCTTATTTTTTACTGCACTTTTTGGGCTCCTGATTTGCAGAGTCTATTGTGTATAGGGCGGATTACGATGTTAGAAAACTTCTAGATCTGATTTTCCATGATACAGAGAAACAGATTAAGGTCATGGTACCTTTGGAAAGTTCTTGTGCATTTCTTGAGGCCAATGCTGCTGTTGAGTTGTGGGCTGCGATTGTTGTCTTCCATGTGTTAAAGTTGGCCTGGGTGAATCGATGTAGTTCTGGTTAAGGAAATGAACTTCTGGTAGCTATACGGGGATCGTTAAGGGGGTCAGAGGATGCAGAAAGTCTACGGTTTTGGTATAATTTGAAAAAAAATGGTTAACCCGAGAGGTATCTCAAGTGGAGACGAGCTGTAAATCTAGACATTTTAAATTTGAATCATAGTAATCTTTTGAGGTCAGGTCATGAAGATTTTATTCTCTGTGAATATTTTAGTTTCAACAGAGATTGTTTGTTTTTATTCTTCATGAATATCATAATTTTGGCATGGATGACTTATCTTTGATTAGATCACAAAGGGGAATAATCGATATATACATAAGTTGGTTTAAATGTCTCTGACCGTTGATCTAAAAAAAATGGTCTAATTTGGGATGGGCCAACATTAGGATCCAATGGTGTCCAAAAAGATTGGAATCGGTTACAAATTATTGGAAGTGAGATTAATGGACTCTCATTGAATCGTAATTTGATCTATTTTAGTTGTAAAATAAGTCTCAATTGAATTCATGGTAGGTGATTTGTCAAGAGAAGTAATGTCGGGGTCTTGCTATATTTTGACTTGTCTAAGATTTCTTGTTTCATCTCCAAGGAATTGATTGTTTCATGTGTGGGGTTTGCTTTCTCACGGGTCCACTTTCGAATTCCATTGCATTTTCAGATAATAAATAAATATGATGAGATCGATTTTAATTAATCATAATCGATCATAATTATTAAATATAATGTTATTACTTGTAAAGACAAAATTATTATTTTTGAGATAAAGTTATCACATTTAAAGGTGAGGTACAAAAGGTTACAACAATTAAAAGTAAAATTATTATCTTTAAAAGTGAAGTTATAATTATATATGATAAAATTATTATTTTTAGATATGAAATTATAATTATTTAATATTTAGTGACAAAAATTGAGGACCACACATTTTTTTCGATAGCGTACCCAATTTTGATTAAGCTATACCCTAGAACTTCCCTTTATCATGATCAAATAAGTGGTCCCATTAAATATTTAACGGCACTAAAATGCATTGCTCGTGTGATTGATTGAAAATTATTACTCAAGATAAAGGGAAAGAGAAGAAGGGGCTTTGGGTATCCTGTATCAAAATTAGTGTGCCACGCCATCTTAAGGTGAGCTCATTGAAGCACAGTTACCAATGCTCACGACTTGGTACAAGTTTGCACATGTGTGAGGCCCCCACCTTTTGGAGAAAATATTGGGCGCAAGGGCTGCACCATATTATTATGTCGACATAATATAATTATTTAATGACAGTATAATAAATGAGTAAATGAATCTTATATGGATAGTTGTTGCATGGCATGAATGAGTAGTTATTTTATTACGTGGAATTCACTTGTTAACTTTTATTACTCTTTTCGTTTTTAAATATATGTCGTTTAAGATATTTGTAGATGAATTAATGAAATTATTAAATAATTTTAATATGAGTAAAAAATAATTGTACAAAATTAAAATACTCTTATTCAATACGTATTAGGAAGAAAAGAAAAATGAAAGACACTTAGTTTACACTTAATCTAATGCATTGAAAAGTTAAGGATAAATTTGAAAGAAAAAATATTAATTATACTTTGGTTTCATTAAACGATAGATATTATGAAATAAAAAAAAAGTGTAAAACGACAGATATTTAGGAACAGAAAGAGTATATTATTAGACGATTATATTATATTAGCGTGATAATATACTGTAACCGTTACACCCAATATTTTTTTTCACTTTTTGGAGAAATTGTTCATATAATTGCTGATTTAATGGTCTAAATGAAGGTTATGGTCCACCTTTTATAGTATAGGTTTTTTTTTCAGGGATTCACATGTTTCTTGTCCAGACTACGACCACCAAAATCCAGCTTGACTGTTGCATAAATTATTGACAATTGCTCACCAAACTAATACTTTAACGGAACACCACTGGAATATTATAGTGTTTTATCAATTCGGGAGCACGGCTAATACCACTGGAATATTATAGTGTTTTATCAATTCGGGAGCACGGCTAATTTACTCTTCATTAGAGTCTCTTGCTCTCGAGGAATATATTGATAAAAATGGAAGCTACACAGTAGTTTGATAAAGATCCTATTGCTTGCCTCCTAGTAAGGGTCTTGTATAGTACTTATAGGAAATTTTGAGTTTAGCTGAATTTGGGGTGTGATCTTTGCCCCCCATGTAACGTTTTGCTTGATTTGTGTAGTGGTTATGCGAAGTGATTAGGGAATTGCAAATTTGGTGCCTGTTTTTATTGAGGAGAAACTTGGTGGTTACCGGCTGTCTTCTACTCTGTTTCCCTTGAGGTGTGGATTAAGAGAGCTCGAAGTCTTGACTCCGGGCTCGAGGTTTTGTGTTATTGGGCTCCCGACATGAGTTGGGTTGCCGAGCTCAACCTTGAAATTTTCTAAGTATCATCAATAACCATCTTGCCCTAAATACAATGATGCTCATGCTTGATAGGGTACATTAAGACGATATAAAACTTATACAAAGTTAACTAGTTGTGTTTTGACAAATACGACTCACTAAAATGAATAATAAACAATTTGGGTGAATTTCACACATAAATAATATAATTTAACACAATAATACGTTTAATTGGTATACTATGAATAAAATGTCTAATTTTTTGTATGAGTCATTTAGAATTAATAAAATTTTTCACTTGGGTTCAATTAATATTTAGTNAACGATAGATATTATGAAATAAAAAAAAAGTGTAAAACGACAGATATTTAGGAACAGAAAGAGTATATTATTAGACGATTATATTATATTAGCGTGATAATATACTGTAACCGTTACACCCAATATTTTTTTTCACTTTTTGGAGAAATTGTTCATATAATTGCTGATTTAATGGTCTAAATGAAGGTTATGGTCCACCTTTTATAGTATAGGTTTTTTTTTCAGGGATTCACATGTTTCTTGTCCAGACTACGACCACCAAAATCCAGCTTGACTGTTGCATAAATTATTGACAATTGCTCACCAAACTAATACTTTAACGGAACACCACTGGAATATTATAGTGTTTTATCAATTCGGGAGCACGGCTAATACCACTGGAATATTATAGTGTTTTATCAATTCGGGAGCACGGCTAATTTACTCTTCATTAGAGTCTCTTGCTCTCGAGGAATATATTGATAAAAATGGAAGCTACACAGTAGTTTGATAAAGATCCTATTGCTTGCCTCCTAGTAAGGGTCTTGTATAGTACTTATAGGAAATTTTGAGTTTAGCTGAATTTGGGGTGTGATCTTTGCCCCCCATGTAACGTTTTGCTTGATTTGTGTAGTGGTTATGCGAAGTGATTAGGGAATTGCAAATTTGGTGCCTGTTTTTATTGAGGAGAAACTTGGTGGTTACCGGCTGTCTTCTACTCTGTTTCCCTTGAGGTGTGGATTAAGAGAGCTCGAAGTCTTGACTCCGGGCTCGAGGTTTTGTGTTATTGGGCTCCCGACATGAGTTGGGTTGCCGAGCTCAACCTTGAAATTTTCTAAGTATCATCAATAACCATCTTGCCCTAAATACAATGATGCTCATGCTTGATAGGGTACATTAAGACGATATAAAACTTATACAAAGTTAACTAGTTGTGTTTTGACAAATACGACTCACTAAAATGAATAATAAACAATTTGGGTGAATTTCACACATAAATAATATAATTTAACACAATAATACGTTTAATTGGTATACTATGAATAAAATGTCTAATTTTTTGTATGAGTCATTTAGAATTAATAAAATTTTTCACTTGGGTTCAATTAATATTTAGTATGCAAGGGCATTGAATGATTTGTTGAGTTGAGAGAGAAGAGGAAGGGCTCCTAAACTAACATATGTTGCTTAAGAGTTATATGTATATCGACCTAAATAAGACACAAGACATAATTAATTAAATGAATCAAATTAAAATTGACTAATATTAATAAGAATTTTTGTACTTTGCATCTTGAAAGATGTCTCGATTTTCACTTTACACTCTGGAAGATTATTTTTTTTCACTTTGCACCCTAAATATGATAAATTGGTTCCAATGTGATCCTCCGACTAAATTTCGTTTTTGCTTTGGAACAGAGTTGCTCTTGAACGAAAATATGAATTCACCATTCATATTTTTGGGTGGCATGTGCATCAAACTTTAACGGAATTTAAAACGGATGTTAATTCGAGAGTCACATTGGAACTAATTTATGTTATCCAGAGTGTAATATGAAAAAAAATATTTTAAAATATAAAGTAAAAATTAAGATATTTTTCGAGTACAAAATATAAAAATCCCATATTAGTAACATAATAGATTACATTGATATCACCTGGACACTTCCCATCCACCATTATTGCATTGTATGTGAGTGTAGAAGTGAGAGAGGCATCAAGGGTGGGTCATGGGTGCAAGTGGTGGGCGCTTTTTGTCGGAAGAGAAACCTTCACTACTCTGTCCAATGCTAAGCCTCGTCCAACTGGTTCATTTCAGGATTGGGAAATGGTGAGAAACCTCTCTGGTTATAAGAACTTGTTCCCCACTCCTTATCTGTAAAGTCTCAAAAGACGGCTATTTTATAATAATTTATAGAAAATTCTTATACAATTAAAATAAAACTCAAAAATTATAATCTAAAAATATATTATCTCTTGAATAAGTGGATCCCACTAAAAAAAATTAATGAGACCTACTTATTCAAGGGATAATATGCATTTCAGTTATAATTTTTTAGGTTCTATTTAAATTGTATTAGTATAGCATTATCAACATCTCTATAAAATGAGGGAAAGTATACAGATGTGCAACAGAGAAGAAAGAAAGATGAATACTATGAGATCTTAGACGTAAGAAGGTCTAGGGGAAACTGCCACTTTATAATATGAACATTTTAACATGAACAATACTATATAGATTTAAAATGTAGATTTGATTAATCATTGTCATTGATTTTATTATGAATTCTAGCATTTATTATGACTCATTGATTATTCAATGACAGTGATCGATTAAATTTATATTTTAAATCTAAATAACACTCCGTTTTTAGAATTCTCATCCTATTCAAACCTTACTAGTCAATCACATAATCTTGTTAATTACTAACCTAGCAAAAGAAAAAAGAATATTATTCACCCAATGTGGCCCTTATAGAATAAGTTTGTTTGCTTTTGGTAAACCCATTTTTTGAGGATATTATGGCTAGTTAAGTTATAATTCCAAAGGTAGTTTAAATGATAATAAAAACGAG